TATATATATATATATAACCTTGTGCTTGCCAAGCAACTGTGTTAACCACCACACTTTGTAGCCATATATAGTTGGTTTTTGGACTGAAAAGTATAGCAGTTTCCCAGCAACTTAATGGCTATAAAGCAGTTCCTGTAAACGATAGTTACGTCATAATTTTAAAATAGAACTAAATGGATTCATAGCACCATCTAAATTTTTATAAAGGTGTGTTAAAGGTTTATAGCTTCAACTAAATGGTGAACTAGGACGTCACTGCTGCAGTCATGCAGAACTAATTCCCTGTGGATATTTTGCCCAAATTCGGAAGTTTGATGGACAAGTGGCTTCAACATGAGATAAAAAAAAAAAAAAAAAGAAGAACTACTCAACTCGGCCTTTGGCCAATACTCATACTTGCAATGTTTGCTTTATTGTCAGGGTTTCCTGAAACGTGGGAGGATTAGTAAACCTTGACGCTCTGTCAAGGTTTATTATTTCATGACACAGAGCTCAAATCTGCCATCATAATGACACGAGTATGGAAAACTACACATGTCCAACAAGAAACAGCAAAAAAGGTGACAAGAAAAAGTGATTATATAGTGTTTGTTGATGCTAGGCCACAAGAGGGACATCATTTGATGTTGGTAATGTTACTTGTTTCACCTATTTCTGCCAGTCAAAGCAAAACAGCAAACTGACTGGATCCGTCAGTCACAGTTAACCTTATCTCTGGGCAGTCTGTGAGAGGGTCCAGAGACAACTTGTGAACCATCAAACCTAAGACAAGGCCACACCTAAATATAACACTGAATAAAAGCCTCTGAATAGAAGCCATATATACCTAGTTTCCACTGATGCAGAGCCTTTGCATACATAGCAGAAGCTGGGGTAATTTGCACAGGGAAGGGTCTGAGATGGACAGAATCTGCAGTGCACATCGTTCGAACAATAATACAGTGCTGTTTGTGCAGCACCATATTGCCCCAGTAAAATGCAAAATGCCACTTTATAACACTTATCTCACAGACCTATATCTAAACTATGGACCGAGGAGCGACCTCCATATGTCGCAATTGCAAACAATGCTTTAGAGGGCATTGTACTCGATGGAACCACGATGAATGTTAGCAGCATTGTGAATGTCTGCTGTGATGTGTTCAAACCTGCTCGGGTCTTTTTAGAATCAGCGAATTGAAAGAAGCAAAGATAAGATATGGATTTAGGCGATACACATCTGGTGAATGTGTCAGATGAAAACTTCAAACAATAACTTCACATGGCGTGCTTGGCCAACTTCCACTCTGCTCCACAAAGGCACGTTGATTTGCCTGCAGTGATGTTTGGCTGTGCTTTGTGTGGATGTGAGTATGTGTGTGTGTGTGTTCAGGGTTTCTTACCTACACTCGCATGCGCTGTGTTCTGTAAAACTCATGAAAATATCATTTTTTTGCCTCCTGGGATTAATTCTTTTAATCTGTAAAAGAAAGAGAAAAATAAGAAATACACGTTGGTGTGTCGTATTTCTAAATATCCAGTGTCCTTCAGATGTTTTGATATTAACACCAGATGACAGGAAAAACCATTCAAGATATCTCAATCTGTCATGGCTGCCAACTTTGAGAATTGGACAAGTTTTTAGAAAAACTGTTTTTTCCACCCTATTCTTCACAGACAACCAAGATCTGGGACGTGCTAATTTCAGCTAGCTACTATTCATGTTTAGAGGATATGTGTTGGGTTTTAAGATGTTAAAAATGGCTTCTTCTTTAAGTGTTTTGGGCACCCACCCATCTAAAAACAGGGACACCAATCTCCTCTTTGGTTTGTCACCTGTCGGTGGTCCTCAGTTTTGCACAGTCTCTCTCATAGGAGCAAAGATTAAAATCAAAATAGGGCGCCTCTTTTGCATGCTACAATGGGGTTCAGTGCTCAAAGGTCACACCTAAGCAGCCTTTGAGCTATGTGCACTTGGACAGGCTGAAGGGGCTTTTTTATGCTAAGTACCATGAGGGCCCTGGGCTGGTCGGACAGACACTTGTAAAGCCTGTGCACCTTCTTAGCTTGACGTTTGGGCAAAAATAAACTGAATAAGCGTCCACATTTAGGATACAGGCATATCCTTCTTTGGCATAACAGCCAAAGAAGAAAAAACAATATAAAAACACAAGTATTACTGCTCCAAATAACGTTGCTGACCTCCATTGTAACGTTATAAGTGGATGTCGGCGTGCACTGCAGCATCTCGTCGTTGCAGCAGCCGGCACAGCGTGTTAAAACGACGCATGACGGGATGAAGATGTGCTCCACCTCATCTGGATACTCCTGCAGAATTTCCACCAAAAGCTCCCGAGGTTGACACCAACTCTTGTTGTACACCTCCATCAGAGGGATCACTGCGAGACAGAGTAACAGTGCACACAGTTAGAAAATGGCAGAGGAGCCATAGTATAAGTGAGTCACTCCTGAACACACACACCTAAATGGGGATGTGAATAAAAAGAAATTGGCAGGCTCACAACAAACACCATACACATAAACATGCACACACACGTTTTATATTGTATTATTCCATCGAGTAGCGCTCGGTGTCTACCATCAAATAAAGACTGGACTGACCTACTTTTACACACTTATGTAATTCCTCACTGAAATTAACAAGTACTCCTCTATGTTGTGTTTCCAACCCCTTTCACTTTTCACTTCAGGAGCGACGTTACCAACCCTCCAGCTTCACCAAAGGCCTCTCAGATAGACTCAAGAACCCCTTCATCAACACCAGCTCTTGTTTATTTGAGCTAATTAGATCCGGACTACTCTCAGCTTACCAATTAATCTGTGCAATTACTTTTAGCTTACCATTCATCCTTTAGAGAACAGCATAAACTTTTTTACCCATATTGGCTTACTTTTTCAGCTGTTCATTTGCCCATCTCACCTCTAAATCACAGTATTAACAGTTTATCTGTTACTTTACGTTAACAAACCCTATCCACGTATGTGTGACCCTCAAATGTATTTACCACCCCTTCATATGTCAGTCAGCGATATCCTTCAGTCTCATTGGTAGTCTTTACCGCTATTGCCATCTACAGGTCAAACTTTTAGGTTGTTATCTCAGCATCTTTCCAAATATCCATGGTAACTGTAGAAGTATCCCCTAGGGTAGATGCACCCTGACTCGGAGTCACTGCTGTCTGACGTCATCACCTGCACTGAATATTCTCTGGTCTTGAATGTCACCCCATTTTTTGTATCCACATTGCCTAAAGCTGTAAACTAATAGCCTGTTGTGTGCTTTTCACCTTCAGTCTATTTCCCCCCCACACACCAACCTCCCGTCACTGAGCCTTTGCAGGAGTTCTGCTCTTGAGAAAGATGTTAGCACACAGACAGGCAACACCTCCAGAACATCACTCAGAGCATTGCTGGACCTAAAACAACCCCAGTCTGAGAACCCTCTGGGAAGCCAAACCAAACATGCTGGGCCTGAACAACATCACGAAGTTCAACTTCTGATTGTCCAATTTATGTTGGGCAATGCTGGGATTGTGCAAAACTAAACTTTGGGCCAAGAGGGTGACATTCCTTTCTATAAAAGACTCTGGTCTCTATAACATTTCACCAGCCTAACCTCAAACGGGGAGGAATGCTGTTCAGGACGAACGCGTCCAGCGGTAAGATTTAAAGATGTGACAGCTCATTTTTTTTAGCTATAAAAAAAAAAAAAGGAGAGTCATGGTCCCGGATGACACTCCATAGGGTCAAATGACAATGTTGTCCACTAGGAGGCAATAATTTGCCTTTAATGTTAAGGTGAAATTCAAACCAGTCCTTTGTTTTATTGGCTTTTAGCCAACCAGGGAGCCCAGCACAGACTGTATTCCCACGGTGCCCTGTAGGACACCTACCGTTATGTGGACCTCTTTCTGTTTCCCTCGGTATGTGGGCACTCTGCAAGAAAAAAGAAATAAAAAGCATGCCGTTAGTTACAGTAGATTGTGCAAGAACTTAGCATAACCCTCTCCATGCCCCTTACTTATCCACAGTTGTGCAAAAGACATATTTACATTATGACATGGCTGTTGAAACATGAAAACCACAGAAACACGCCTCTTATCACAGGCCAACCTACACACGGTATAGACTGCAATGACATTTTAAGGGTTTAAATATTCATAAGCTTTTAACACTAATAACAATAAGGTTCTATAGAACATCAGCTGTTCATTCGAGGGGTAGCAGTTTTTCAAAATAAAACACCCGAAGATACAATTCCTTAATCAGCCTGCTCCTAGTCTAATTATAACTTATATGTATATGTGGTGAGGGAGGCCGTATATGGGCAAATGTTTGATCGGAGGCACAGCGTGTCAAACCATCTGACCTAAGTTCAGCCACATGAACGTGACCAAACTTCATAAACTTCAGGATTGGCTGTTTAGTTTCAGTTACTAGACCTTTATTGTTGTGCGGCTCCACTGCTTCCAGGCAGCACGGATTAATAACCGCTGCCATTAAAGCCGGCAAGAATTTCAGCCTGCTACTTTCCCCTCACAGGGGGGTAGCTGTCACCACACCAGTTGGGCCACAAAGGATTTTTTTTTTTTGGCAACTTTCCATTCGTTCGTTACGCACAATGCCGTCTCGTCTTCAAACGCGCGCGCGCGCACAACCCTTCCCTCTCCCATTTTTTTTTCCACGTAGGAGCACGCGCAACTCACGCAATATCTCACCAATGTTGCATGAGATACGGCCTGTGCTGAGTGAGCCGGCATTTGGCGATAAGAAACTCTTTTCTGTTTCTTAATGAAAGGAGAAAGGAGAAAGGAGGAGGAAAGAGGAGGAGGAGGGGGGAAAGAAAAGAAAGAAAGGAGAGGAAAAAAAAATGAAGAAGGTCGGTTTGTTAGCAGGCCCCACCCCCTTCTGGTGGCGTGAGAGGGTCCAACCTTGTGGGCCGAGAGACCCCAGCCCCCCAAAAAAGCGCACTATACATTAATGTATGGGTGTCAAGCTGCCAGCACCGGCTCTTAAACCGAGTGATGATACATGCCGGCTTATAGACGAGCATTTTAGCCTTCATCCGCGTGCAGTCCAGTGTTGATTGAGAGGCCTCAACTGTCATTAAGTGATCCAGTTAGTTCAATGAACACTTCACCGGACTCCAGCCTGCTCGTGCTTTTATTATGCCGGGGCTGAGATGCTCGCGAGAGGAGCTGTGTTGCCGCCGGAAACCAAAAGGAAGCGAAAGGCTTTTTTGAAAGTGGTGTTACAAGAAAGTCCAATCATGTTACAGGAAAACGCGCAGCCTCCTACTGAGGTTGTATTTTTTTTCACCTTGAAACCTTTGCTCAAAGCCATACCAGCAGTTGATTAATGATTATATAAAAACGATTTACAGTGGGCACTAAAGCGCCATTACAATTCCGCAGCTAGATCGGCTGATTAATCTCGGTTTGAGGGGGATAATTAACGTTCGGTCACTACTGGAATCAAGGGGTTGAATTCCAGTTTGAGAACAGGAGCCGCTTCTTGTATGCCGGTAGTGAACCTGCTCACAAGTCCTAAATCAGAATGGAGCCACTGCGCCTTTAAAGCGTAATAATATCTCCAAGGTGGTTTTTTAGAGCAGGCCTGCAATCAGCCAACGGCAAACTTAAGATGATTTTTCTGCGTTTTAATAAAAGAAATAAACACTTAGGTTAGATTTACAGGATAAAAAAGGCTCGCAACACCCGCCGAGTGTGTGTGGGTTATGTTTATACAACGCCACTTTTGCGTAATGGCTGTTTAAATCTCCTCAGAAAAAAAAGCCACAAAACATTTGAGCTTGTTCAAACACGAGCGGTGACCTAGCTAGAGGAAAGACAAGGACAAGCTACACATTAATGAGCAGTCCCTACATGGCTCAATAGATGTGATCTTTTTTTTTTCTTTTAAATTTGTTCTCTATGGGTCAGTTTGCTGTCCGGGGACACTCACCTTGACAGCTGACAGCGTCAAAAATAATAGTGTCAAACTGTCAATAAAGTTCATGGTGTTTGAAATCCAATCCAAGGGGGCAGACGATATTTGTTTAGAAAAAAATAAAATCAGCAGGCCAAATGTGGCTTTTTGTTCTCAAGCATGAAGTTCACAAGTACAACAATATACAAGAGGACCGGCTAAAACTTCTCTGAAAGGGCAGGAGGTTTTAAAAGCAAATCCATGCTGGTCCCAAGGATACAATCCTTCGCGTGTTAACTACTTCTTCTTCTTTTTGTCTCAACTGTTGCCAATTATTTTCAAGATATCCAGAAACACGAGAATCCAAGATGCACAACGTCTCACATTGTTCCGCAGCAGATCTTTATTTTCTTGCAAGGGAGTAGCAATCCACATTACAGAAATAATCCCATGCTTGTTGAGCCAGGCGTCTCCAAGTGTCTGTCCATTTGAAACTTGAAGCCGTGGACGAGGATGATGTTCAGTGGAAAAGAAAACCGCGGTGTCAGTTTAATCGTGGCGAGCAACTTTTGTCTCTTTAGCTCTGGCTGATTTATCTTTAACCCGGTATCATCACTCGGCTCTTGTCTTAGTGCGTCCTCTTCTGTCTGCGTCTGTTGTATAGTGTGGAGAGATCGCGGTACGAAGGAAGTGAATGATGTGGTAGGTGTGTCCTATAGAGCTCTGCGCTAATAGGAGCCCAGAATGCCCCCACCAAAAAAGAAAAAAAGTGATCTTATACATGTGTAATATTGCATATAGGCAAATAGGCGAGATTTACAAAGGGGTTATATATAAAATAGACAAATTATCAATTTTATATCATTATATCTGCGTTGTTGTATCTGTCCTCTGTTCTACATTATGACCAATCCATCCCTTTTTAGTCACTTAAAATATCGTTGTAGAACTGCTATGTGATATTTCATGAAACTTCTTTTCCCCTCTTGGCCACAGCTCCCTTGAAAAATATATTTTTAAAGTCGGTAAAACGCCTTCCATGTTAAAAAAAAGAATATGTAAAAGTCACTTTGGAAAAACAAACAAACAAAAAACAAAAACAAAACAAAACAAAAAACCCTGAATGAAGCTCCTACTGTGTGCCAGGTATGCTCTCTCTGGGTCAGAATGACTCGATATCAGTTTAGAGATATGGTTGATAGCTTATATGCAACAAGTCATTTACAGCAGCTTAAACACCGCTAATCGTTTTTTAATTGTATTTTTTTATTTTTAGTCGATTTTTAAAAATCATTTTTAAGGCAAATACCAGACATCACGTTTTTTTCCCACAACACCTGTCTATTTGTACTTTAAAAAAAAAAAAAAAAAAAAAGTATTTCTTTTACACGTGAATAAGAAGAAAGAAAACTCTTTGGATACGACAGTCGTATCACGGGGTCGTTACAGCGCAGATCTGTGCAACAAATGAACTCCTTTTTGGGGCAACTTCCGAATCGTTTACTGCGAGGGAAATACCGGTGAACGCACACCGGCGCAATAATCTTGTGAGGTTTTAATTTTGTACTGGGGCTATAATGCGGTACCGCGTTAAGTATTTTCCAGCCTTGTGACTAGACATGAGAGGGCACCCAACTTGTCGACGTAGGAGAGCGTGTGTGGCTGGACACGTAAGCCTTGTGCGTGCGTGCTCCGGTCAACGTTTTCCGCTTGTGATCCGCTGCGACGCATATATCAGGTGCGGTCTGCATCCCTGAGCTCTAAGTATTTGCGTCGTGACTTCCTGGACAAAATATTCTTCGATGGACGTATTTTCTGTGCAGTTTCTCGCCACCTGCCCCCCAACACTCCTGTTCCGCGGATGGAGCAGGGGGGGAGGAGGAAAGGGGAGACAAGATGAGAATATAGTTATTGAGCCGGTGAAGCAGCCCGATGGTGACGCCCTAGTGACGTTCACGATGATGCTAAGGACAATTTAAAAAAACAAAAACAAAAAAACCCCACAGTAAACACAAAAAGGCTCAATCTGAGTAAGAATAATGAAGACAGCGTGGCAGTTATTTAATTAAATAAAAAATAGCCACACCTTCAAATAGTTAACAACAATGACTTATTAGCAGAAAATAGATTTTACAAGCAAAAAAGGATATATTAAAGTAGCCTGCGTGGTATTTTAGAATATCCTAATAAATACACGTGGTTGAGTGAAATACTGAAGAAATGAATGATGCAAACACAGATGAAGCACCTCAGTACCTCAAAAGAGGATTTGTTTAAATGTAAAGTGCCCTACAGTTAACCAGAGCTCACAGTATGTTTCCCCCTCTTATTTCTATTGAACTGAAAGAAAAAAATGTCCTATTTCTCTTTTTATTTTTAAGGTCTTCCCAATCTTAAGACTTGCTTTGTGTGATTTCCATGTATTCTCTCTGATTTCCTGTGCCCTCTCCTGGCCACTGGAGGAAGAGCAGTACCTCCAGCTCAATGACAGATTGATAGACACCTAGGAAATGGAATGAGCTGATAAGTATGTAATGACATAACCTGGCAGCTATGTGCCGGCTTCAGTTCATACCTTATCGTGCCTTTAATGGTATGAGAGAGAGAAGGGGGGGAAAAAAAGATCCCTCAAACAATGAGACTTTACAGTGCAAAGAACTGAGGCATGATAAAGCAGAAAGCAGAGAAGCAGAGTGAATGACAGATAAGGAGAAAGACAGCTTTAAGGAGGAGAAGGCTGACATGTAATTGTAGCAGTCCTGAGAGGAGTTCCTTGGCTGGCTTCAGAGTTAAATTGAAGAATAACAGTTGGGTTCATTAGCGGTGTCACCGAGCTCCTGTTTCTGCTGACTCAGAGCGTGTGGATTCGCCTGTGTGTACTGGTGCAGTCTCTACAGTGGATACAGTTGGTGTGTGCACACTTTCTGCTGACCTGGTACAGGCATAGCTAAACACATGCACTTTTAATGAAACAGTGCTTTCCTAAAAGTACAAAAAACAGCCTCCCCTGCGTTGAACTGCACACTGACGCACATTTGCAAACGTCATCGTGTTAGCACAAAAGCAGGGTGATGCCTGTCGGCGCTGTGGGGACAGCGGCCTGGTGTAATACTCCAGCAAACACTCCATGAGCCGCGGCTTTATCAGTGATAGGACACAAGAGTAATTAGCTGTTTACAGTACAGCCAAAGTCACGTTGTTTTAAGTCGGTGAGTTTTTCCATCCTGAGCAATCATGCCATGAGAACTGCAGTGTGATTTCATGCAGCTGCACGAGTAGTTTTCCACACAAGTGCACGACACAGTAAAAAACCACACACACACACACACACACACACACACACACACACAGACAAAACCCAACAAAAAAAGGCTGGGTTAGAGAAGCCGGAGGTGTGCCTCTTACCTCGGTATTGCTTCATTGCTCTTTACAGCCCTCTAAAATGAATCAATCTCTAATTAAGCGTTCATCTTTCAAAAAAAGAGCCGTGAGAACAGACTACTTAGAGAGAACCAGTAGACTCACATATATGGTATAGCAAAGTATTCCAAAGTTTGACCGCTTTTACACTCATTGTCAGTCCAGTCCTTGTATCTGACCACTTTTACAGGAATAATTATTATTTGTTAAGCCACCTAACAGGGACCTGTGAATCATTCAAGCATAAAAAGGCTCTTAACTTAAGGGAAGAACCAGTGTTGTGTCTTTAAATTGCTCTGAGAGATGCATCTGGAACTTCAGTTGATCCATCTGCTGTTCCCTGAAGCCTCATCAGAAATGGTCTCAATAGAAGTATGGCTATCAAGAAGCCATTTTTAAGAAAGGAAAACAGGGACAAAAGGGTGAGGCATAGCAAATTACATAAGAACTGGACTGAAGATAAGTTGTAACGGGTTTTATGGAGTGATGAAATTTGAAGGTTTTGGTTTAAATTGTCATCAGTTTTCAGAGGAGGTCAGTACAGAGGTAAATCGGTGTCTGCAGACAATTGCGAAACATGGTGGAGGCTCTGTCATGGTTTGGTGCTCCATTTCAGCCAGTGGTTATGAGCATCTTGACTAAACTGAGTGAATTATGAATGCAGAAAATACAGTTTTTATACAGCACACAATACCACCTGGAAATCATCGCAAAAGGTTCATTTTTCAGCATAGTCCAGCGATTTGCACTTTTAATTCCCAGTTCAAACCTATAGTAGATTAACCCTAATCCCCAATGTCCAAATATCCCCCAAAAAGCCATGGGATGGAGAGGTCCCAAGTTGATCTGATAATCTGTTGCATTCTTCTGTGTCTTTTTTTTTTTTATTAATCACACTGTTTAAAATCATGCAAAGCACAAGAACCAGCCATGCCGATCTCGCCATGTTAGACCAGTTTAAAGTAAATAAAAGGAGCACCACAGCAGTTTTAAATTGAGTGGTTTTTTTTTCATTCTGCAACGGTGTGGTACGATTGCATCATTAGTATATGATGCAATCGATACATTCAACCGTTTTCACTTACACTTTTTTCAGATAAAGTTCTCCATTCAGATTTACTACGCTTCCTTTTTTTTGGAAAACACAAAACAGAAGTTTGATTTGCCTGTTTCTTTAACCACACACACACACACACACGCGCACGCACACACAAAATAATTGTCGTTTTATTGTGCTTCTGAGGTTTCTTGTCATTTTGTGGCCTTCCAGTGTTTCTTAAGGAATTTCAAAGCTGCTTTTTAAGTTATTTTCAGTCCACTGCTTATACTTGACCATTTTTAGAGGTATGCTTTGTTATTTGTTAAGCCACTGACCTATGAATCATCCGAGCATAAAGAAGGCACCTAACTGAACCAGTTTTTTGTGTTTAAATTGGTCCTGACACAGGTAATGATAGATGCATCTAACCCTTCAGCTGAAACATCTGCTGTTCACTGAAGCCTCATCAGAAATGGTCTCAGTGGAAGGGTGACTGACAAGAAGCTATTCTTAAGGAAGGGAAACAGGGCTCAGGTGTACCAAATTACACAAGAACTGGACTGAAGATCAAACAGGTCCTGTAAGGCAGTGGTCCCCAACCCCCGGGTCACGGACCAGTACTGGTGACCGTGAGTCATTTGGTACCAGGCCGCGAGAGTTAAGACTCGGGTGTGAAATGTATGGCTTTCAGGGTTTTTATCGGTTTTTAGCGTTATGTTGTTATCGTTTTTTTCGTTAACTCTGTTTTCCTGGGTCTTTTCACGTGTGTTATGAATAAAATCTTCTTTTTTCCGGTACCGGTACTAGTTTTATTTTGTTGCGACACCTTAAAGGCCGGTCCGTGAAAATATTATCGGACATAAACATGGCGCAAAAAAAGGTTGGAGACCGCTGCTGTAAGGTGATGAATTCAAATATGAAATTTTGGTTTAAATTGTCATCAGTGTCTATGGAGGAGTCATGAAAGAGGGCCAACAGTCATGGTCTGTGCCCATCTGTAAAAAACGATGGAGGCTCTGTCATTGGTTTGGAGCTACATTTCAGCCAGTGATGTTTGAGATCTTGTCGAAACTGACTGAATTCTAAAACTTAGAAAAGTACCATCAGATTTTGTTTCACTGTGCTGTGCCATCTGGCAACCATCAGATTGGCTTAATTTTTCAGCATGACAATGATCCCAAACACACTGCCAATGGAGTACAAGCATAGCTGGATAGA